TCTGCTTTGTGTCCTTGTCTATGGAGTACAGTACAAGAGGACACTCAGGACAAATCTCGCTCTGTAATCCCACCCACCTCCCTCCTGGGATGGACTGTATATTACGAACAGATCTGTCTTCGAGGAAGTACAGCCAGAAGGCTCACAGAAGCCAGGATGGCTAGACTTTGTCATATGTACTTTGGACATCTTATCAGGAGAACCAGACAACGGATAGTGTGCTTGGTAAAATAATTGTTACTGTTGCTAGGTATCATTGAGTCGGTTCGGCTCACAGGGACCCTATGTTCAATAGAACAAAGCACTGCTCCGTCCTAGCCCTCTTCCCATTGTTCTATGTTGAAGCCCATTGTTGGAGGCTGTGCCAATCCGTTTGGTTGAGGGCCGTCCTCATTTTGCTGCTTCATCAAGCTTGATGTCCTTACAGTATTCGGTTGTGTGCACATACCAGAGTTTCTTTATGCAGTCTTCTACCGATGGATATTTTGCTATTTCCAGCTTCTTGCAATTATGAACTATATTCTTTTGGGTCACCTTTCTCAATCCCTTTCCTTAAGGGTCTTCTTTTTCATTGACCCGCAACCAAGCATGCTGTCCTTTTCCAGGAACTGGCCCATCCTGACCACAGGTCCGAAGTCCATGAAATGACGGGTCAATAGCGTCAATTCTAGGGAACATTTTGGCTATCCTACTTTCAAGACAGAATGGTTTGCGCTTCGGGCTATCTATGAGACTTTCAATCTTCTCACCAACCCCATAATTCAAATGCATCAGTTTTTCTTTGGTCTCCCTTATCTATTGTCCAACTATCACATTCGTGTTAGGCAACTGAAAATGCCATTACTTGGATCAGGCACACATGAGTCTTCACAGTGATATCTTTGCTTTGTAACACATAAAAGAGGCCTTCGTGTGGTTTCTTGACTGCTGCTTCCATGTGTGTGCATTGTAGTAGATACCAGTAAAATGAAATTCTGGAGTTGTGCATATTCTCAAAATAGCATGTCACTTGTCTCAATCTAGGGACCAAATGATAGATCATCATGGACTGCCATCAAGTCGATTCTGACTCATCTGACAGCTTTCTCCTGACCTATGAACTAAAGACTGTATTCAAATTTTCTTAGTTTTTACCCAATGCTCTTTGTTCTGCCCCAAGACTCCACCTAGGGCATCACATTGCCTTCAGCCAGCATGTCTCTCTAGGCTCCTCCTGGTTGTGACAGTTTCTGAGATGTTGTTTTGATCACATGGGCAGTTTTAGGGATCCCTCGTAAGTGGTTGGCGGGTTGTACTTGGGAAATCCTGTTTTATGCGGTGTCACTGTTGTGGGGGACAGAGAACCGAGAAGAGAGTGTATGTGGATGAATTCTTTATTCTCTTATTTTAAGACGCCTGGCAGTCCAGGATTCTGGGATGGAGGGAGGTATTCACACTTGTGAGTTAGAGATGAGTCCCAATCACATTCTCATAATTAATATTGTTCCTCACTATATTTTTCCATAATAGTACTGCCTTAAGGTTACCTCTTACAAGCAAATGGCTCATTGCTATCTAGTCGGGCAGCTTTAACTATAGGAGCAGACGTGTGCTATTGTTCTTCAGACTATGGGACAGTCACTCTCTCTTACTTGCCCCAGGCACTGTGTTAGGTTACTTACGCCTCCAGGGAACTCAGGGACCTCTAGGGTTAAGGTACAGCCCACTTTGTTACCTATGTGGTTACCTGTAATTAGAAGGGCTTGCATGCCCCAGGAGTATATTAGCTGTTGTTGGAAATCTCTCTCTGTGTGGACCTGGCTCCTGAAGTCATGACTGAGCCTTTTCATGCTTTATCTTCTCTGCTGTCTCTTTAATTTACGCTTCTCCATACACAACTACTCCCTTGGATTCATTTGGTTGTGGGGGCTGGCACCCCACAACTATGACTTAAAATCAGCACATAACCTTTAAAATTGTGGGAGTGAACTCCATGACAAAGCGTGACAGTTTTGAGGAGTCTGATCAGGTATTGTTCAGGCTGTCACTTAATTGGCTGTGTCTAGTGTTTGTCCTATAATTGCCCATACCCACTACCATCAATACGTTTTTCAACAAGCCGATGAAGCAGGAAGGCTTTACTTGTCTATGCCAGGAAATTTGGAAGATAGCTACTTGGCCAACGGACTGGGAGAGATCCATATTTGTAGCCATTCCATAGAAAGGAGACCCAACGGAATGCTCAAGCTATAGAATAATATCACTGATAACACATGCAACAATGGTTGCAACGGTACATTGACAAGGAGCTGCCAGAGGTTCAGGCTGGACTCAGAACAGGAACAAGGGCTGTCGTTGCTGAAGTCAGATGGAACTGAGCTGAAAGAAGAGAGTACCAGAAAGATGTTTACTTGTGTTTTATTGATTATTGACTGTGTGGATCATAACAAACTATGGATACTCTTGAGAAGGACGGGAATTCCAGAATAGCTCATTATGCTCATGTAGAATCTGTACAGGGATTAAGAGGCAGTTTTAGGAACAGAACAATGGAATACTCTATGGCTTAAAAGCAGGAGAGGTGTGCATCAAGACTGTATCTTCTCACTTTAGTCACTGTTTCCTGAGCATATAATCAGAGAAGCTAGATTCTATGAGAAGAATGAGACATGAGGATTGGAGGAAGACTTATTCACAACCTTTGCTAGGAAGGTGACAACCTTGCTTGCTGAAAACGAGGAGGACTTGAGGCACTTGCTGATGAAGATTGAGGTTTGTAGCATTCAGTATGGATTACAATTCGGTGTCAAGAAAGCCAAAACCCTCCCAACTGAATCAGAAGTAACATCATGAAAATATTCAAGTTGTAAAGGATTCCATCTTGCTTGAATCCATATTTAAAACTCATAGAAGCAGCAGTTAAGAGATCAAATGAGGCATTGCATTGGGTAAATCTGCTGCACCTCTTTAGAGAATTGAAAAGCATGGGTGTTCCTTTGAACTCAGGTATACCTGACCCAAGCCATGATATTTTCCATTGCCTCATATGCATGTGAAAGTTGGACATTGAGTAAGGAAGAAGAATCAATGCATTTGAATTATGGTGCCGGTGAAGAATATTGAAAGAAGCAGGGGCTGCCGAAAGAACCAACCAATATGCTTTGGAAGAAATAAAGAATGCTTCTTAGAGCCAAGGATGGTGAGACTTTGTCTCACGAACAGAGGACATGTCAGGAAAGACCAGTCTCAGGGGGAGGACATCATGCTGGGTCAAGTAGAGGGTCAGCAAAAAGAGGAAGACCCTTGATAGGATGGATTGACACAGTGGCTGCCACAATGGGCTCAAACGTGAGAATAATTGTGAGGATGTCGCAGGACCGAGCAGTGTTTCATTCTGTTGTGCACAGGGTCGCTGCTGTGAGTCGGAATTGACTCCGCAGCACCTAATCACCACCGTCGAGTCAATTCTGACTCAGAGCAGCGCAATGCAGACAGATTCTAGGACCGTACATCTTTACCGGAGCAGACAGCTCATCGTCTTCCTGCCGTGGCTTAGACTGGGGTTATTGGGTTGGGGGAGAAGACCACAGAGGGTAAGTGCCATTCATAGCACATCATGGTAAGGCTAAAATCTACCAACATGCGTCCTGGCTGCTGTTACCCTTGACACTGGAGGAGGAAGTGCTTAGCAGGTTATCTACTGTAAAATGACTCCTCCACCCCACTCCCCTTTCTCCTCTGAAGAAAACCACTGCCTACTCAGAAGGTGTAGGGCCAGCTCCTTGAAGGTGAAGTGCTTCATACATGATTTGAAACCCTTCTGCACAGGCTCGCCTGCATTGTTTAATCACTCATTTATGTCAGGCAATTACTGTTTATTCCTGTGTTAGCTGTACATGGGTGGATGTTAACAGGTCGAATGACATGTGGGTTTGGTGCCCAACTGAAAGACAAGCGTAGCATACAGTGAAAATCACCCTTCGCCCCCTCCCTGCCTTCGCCCCCCCACCCCCCACCCCAGCTCTCCACCAGAGGCCGTCACTACAGAGATGGGCCAGCACTGGACACCCTTTCTCTTTCTGTACTGAACGGCAACTTATTAGAAACATTGCTAAGGGTGATCGCTCAACGCATTTTTAAATTTCTTCAAATAAAATCCCCAGGCCCAAGAGTTGAGGATGCTGTATTCTAACATGTGACATTCCAGAAGAGGTGGTCACCCTGGAAGACCTGGCATCCCTTCCCCTGGGTTAAAGATAAAACTTCCCGCTGTTACTGGACCCTTTGTTACAGAAAACTACTGATTCCGACTCATCTGAACCCCGCAGGACAGATTAGAACTGCCCCTGTGGGTTTCTGAGGCTGAGTCTTGAAGAAGGTGGAAAACCGCATCTTTCTGCTATGGGGAGCTGGTAGCCACGAACTGCTGACCTTGCGCTTAGCAGCCCAAAGCTAGCCCACTACACGTTTTCTTTGTTCGTTTCACAGGTCACAATCCCTTAGAAGTAAGCGTGACTGTTAGCGTTTGCAGAACAGATTTTAACGCTGCACTCTAAGCTCTCATGTTTAGTAGACAGAGTTAGTCTCTGCGGGATTCGCCCCCTTACACACCGTCCTTTGCACTCTACTTAGTAAGTGTGCCCACTGGCGAGTCGCTCCAGGATAGGAACCCAGGAGCCTGAGTCGTTGGCATCCTTACATGGGATTACTAATCCCCTTCCATTCAAGTGGTCACTGCCGTTGGCTGGAGCCTCCCGGGGCCGCTGGGCTCGCCAGCGCGCCCCTAGCACGCCCGCCCCCGGCCCTGAGCGCCTTGCACTTGTCGCCGAGACGGTCGCGCGCGCTTCTGGCGCCGGGGTTGGTCCGCGGGCTGTGGGCGTGGGAAGGGCCGCTGGGCCCCGCCCCGGCCTCTGTGACGTCGACCGGAACCTGGAATTCCGACTGGGGGTGCCGGGCCGGCCGGCTGGGGCCCCTCTCCGGTGGGGCGCAGCCATGAGCGAGTCCAACGCCGGTGCGCAGACCCACGCCGTGGGCAGACCTTGCAAGCAGCCCTTCCTCCAGCCAGGTAGGGCGACAGGGGAGGGGCGGTCCCCGGTCCCCGGTCCCGGTCTCCTGGTCAGGGTGCCGGGGGACCAGGGCAGGGCGGGCGCCAGCGGCGGCACGGTCGGGACGCTGGCATTGCCTAGGCTAATTTGCTAATCTGGAGGGGACACGTTCACACTTTCAGCACCTCCAAGATTCTCCTGCCCGCTCGCGCTCTCCCAGCGATGGCACCTTCCTGGAGAGCCCGGGTCTCCTTTCAAACGCACGACTCCTGACCGGGACGGAGGACCCAGTCAGCGAGCAAGGTTACTTACGGGCGTGCGACCGTTTACTATTCTGTGATGAACCGTTTCACGTAGTTCAGTACAGACCCGCAAGGTAGCACAAGTACACCTTGCTTATGGAGTAATCCTTCCCCGAAACGCCCTCCACATCCGGCTCTGCGTCTCACTGCGCGGGGTCGGTCCCGCTGGCTTTGGGGCCATGGAGAGCGCTTCCTGCTTTCCAGTGCCGCGCGCCCGCCCTCTCTGCAGAAACAATGGAGTGAATGGGTTTGCCTTCTGTTCCTGGCCCAGGAATCCGGGAACGGTCTCCAAATACATTTATCTATAAACATTAATACATAAATAAATACATTTATTTACTTATAGATCTATACATTTATCTATAAACATCTGGGGAGCCGTGCTAAGGTGCCTTCCCCTAACCATTTCAAGCTTGGCAGTTAGATGAGCTTGGGAGAGAATTCTGCCGTGGCCATTTGTTTGCTATGTGACCTTTGGATAGGACTTGCCTTCTCTCAGCAGCAGACCCTTCAGCAGTAAACTGAGAATCCAAAACTGGTGGAACGACCCACGAGAAAACCCTTGGTGAGCCTCGCACAGTGCCTGGCATATAAACAAACCCAGAAAATGGTGCAGTCCATACGGACTCATGGTGACCGCATGCCAGTCAGAGTATAACTGTGCCATGGCGCTCACTTGGCTATAAAGCTTTATAGAAGGACGCCTGGGTGGCACAAATGGTTTGTACATGACAACAGACCTAGATGTTAGCAGTCAGAACTCACCCCGGTTGCACCGCAGAAGAAAGGTCTGGTAATCTGTGTCTGTACAGATGACAGACATGAGAACTGTGGGAAGGAGTTCTATTCTGTCCCATGTAAGGTCTCCAGGAGTTGGGAGCAAATCAAAGGCAATGGGTTTGATTTTGTTTTAACGTTTGCAGAAACAGATAGCCAGCCCTTTCTTCCACAGTGCTGCCAGGTGGGTTCAAGTGCCCCTGCCCCTCCGCCACCCCCAACTTTCTAGTTATTAGCAGAACACAGCACCCTGGGATAGGGACCACATAGCTAGGCAAAAATTGGGAGCCCTGTGACGTAGTGGTTATGCGTTGGGCTGCTAACCACAAGGTCAGCAGTTCAAAACCACTGGCCTCTCCGAGGGAGAAAGATGAGGCTTTCTACTCCTGTAAAGAGTTACAGTGTCAGTGTAAGACATGAAAAAATAACAATAATTTATAAATTATCAAGGGCTCATGAGGGAGGAAGGGAAGGTGGGTGAGGGAGGGGGGAAATGAGGAGCTGATACCAAGGGCTCAAGGAGAAAGAAAATGTTTGAGAACAATGATGGCAACAAATGCACCAATGTGCTTGACACAATGGATGGATGGATGGATTGTGATAAGAGTTATATGAGCCCCCAATAAAATGATTTAAAAAAAAGAGATACAGTCTCAGAAACTCACAGGGGCAGTTCTGGCCTGTCCTACAGGGTCACTGTCAGTAGAAACAAACTCGATGGCAGTTGAGTTTGGAGAGGTTTTTTTTTAGTTTTGGAAAAATTGATATATAATCTTTAAAATGTTAATCTTTTTATTGAATAAAACATAGGCACTGTAAGGCAACTAATCTTAAGGGTACTACACCTCTTTGGGTTTTTACTTCACTATAAACAACCACCATCCCACCAAGATCGGAACGCTGTCAGCGCCTAGGCAGGCGGGCTTCCGTGGATAGCAATCACATCTCACATGGGCTCTTAACCGAGAACAGGACCTTGCTGTGGGTTTCATCTGCAAGGTTGCTTGGTTTTGATTAAGAACAGAGGTCGTGTTCCAAAGATTTCCAGGAAACGTGAGTGTGGATTTGGGCCTTGGACTCTTCCAACTGGGCTGTTTTCAGCATCTAGGAGAAGCCCAGACGCTGGGAGTCAGGCAGCAAATCCGACTGGGTTCCATGCACATTGTTTGTTGGCTCACTGATTCTGCGGGCTCCAGCTCCCCTTACAGCTTTCACTCCTAGCCCTCCAAGCAGTGGTTCACATTGGGCTGCAATCCTCATGGTCAGCAGTTTGAAGTCCTCAGCAGCTCTGAGGGGAGAAAGACTGGGCTTCCTGACTTCATAAACAGCTGCAGTCTTGGAAATTCACAGAGGGTCGCTATGGATCAGCATAGACTCGATGGCAGTGAGTGCAACGTATTTTCCAGTTGTTTTCTATGGATTATCTTTTTTTGGCTAAACATGCTCCTCGAGATGCCAACCACAGTTTCCCGTGCAGAAGGTGTGAGATTCATCTTTCTAGAATTCACTAGGAGTTTCAGGGACTCGCTCAACATCTTTTTAGGAGTGTCAACAGTTAACGTGCTTGCCAACTGAAAGGTTAGCTATTCGAGTTCGCATGGAGGCACCTCTGAAGTAAGGCCCGGCAATCCACTTTCCTAAAATAAGCCATTGAAAAGCCTAATGGAGCAGAAGTGTGGCAAGCATCTTTTATGTCTTGTGATTACCGCCATAAACTATTGGGGAGGGTCGAACGGCTCCTGCTGGGTTCTGAGCCTGTAATTCTGTACTGGAGTAGAAAGCGCCATCTTCCTCTGGAGATGGTTTTGAATTGCTGCTGGTTGCCAACAGCTGACCCGGCGGGTAGCAGCCCAGTGTATAAGCCAGGGCCACCACCACCACTGGACCAAACCCACTGCCATCAAGTCAGTTCTGATTCAGAGCCACCCTATAGAGCAGTGGTTCTCCACCTTCCTCATGCCGTGACCCTTTCATACAGTTCCTCATGGGGTGGTGATCCCTCCCAACCATAAAATTAATTTCATTGCTACTTCATAGCTATCATTTTGCTACCGTTATGAATTGAGCGACCCCTGTGAAAGGGTCATTCAACCCCTAAGGGGGTCGTGACCCACAGGTTGAGAACCACTGCTATAGAGGGTTTCCGAAGCTGTACATCTCTACAGGAGCAGACAGCCGCATCTTTCTTCCTTGGAGCGGCTCGTGGAGTTGTGTTGCTAGCCTAGAGGTCAGCAGTCCAACAGAACAGAGTGTGTTTTAGGACCTTGTACACACAGGCATGGGTGGGAAGCTGGTAAAGGGCTGCCCTTGTAACTCTGTAGCAGTTTGTGAACCGTGAGGACTGCAAGGCCACCAAGGGAGGACAGCGGGGGGAGGGGGGGCAGGGAGGCACAGAGTGTCCGTTTAAGGGATGAGAACTGTGCTTCCATCTAAATGGTAGTGCAGATCATTCCTCTCCCCGACTGAACGGGACTTTGCAGTGGCTTCCCAGTCTTCTGATAAAACTCCAGGCTGCTGAACCTGTTTGCAACAGATAGCAGCCCCAGCCCGCAGAGCAGAATGACCCTGGAGAGATTTTGAAACTGTAATCTTGACATAAACAGATCTCCAAGTCTTCCCCCTGTCCTCCTCCCTCCCCTCTGCAAAGCCACCAAGCAGCTTTGAACTTGATGGTTGCATCAACAGGATTCCATTGGGTCAATTCCAACTCACAGTGTTGCTATAGGCTTCCCGAGGCTGTCCATCTTTACAGGACCAGAAAACCTCGTCTTCTCCCCATGGAGTGGCTGGTGGATTTGAACTTCTGGCCTTGCTGTTAGCAGCCCAATACTTTCCTGATCCACTATGTCACCAGAGCTCCTGCTTGATATATACAAGACCCACTACCATTGAGTTGTTTTGACTCACAGCGACCCTATATAGGGTTTCTGAGGCTCTGTAAATCTTCATGGGAACAGCTTGCTCATCTTTCTCCCACGGAGTAGCTGGTGGACTTAAACTGCCTGCCTCGCAGCGCAAGGTAGCAGCGCAATAGAAACCTGACCCTCCCACCAGTTGATATATAGTACTCACTACATATGGATTGACACGATGGTGGCGACAGTGGGCTTACACAGGAGCGTGCAGGACCAGACAGTGTTTTGCTCTGTTGGACATTGTGTCACGATGAGTCAGAACTGACTTGACAGCATCTACCAACAGCAAGTATGTGTTAAATGAATACAGGGATGAAGTGTACCTGCAGCCTCACTGGCAGCTGCAGTATTAAACATGAACAAAAGTAACCATTGAATGTGCAGTGCTGGTTCATTTTTTTTCTCTTACCCGTACGTCCCAGTTGCCCAGCACCCTTGTGGCATCACATGGACGGAAGAAATCTCCAGCAGGTCTTCATCCAGCTGGAATACAGACAAGCACACTTTCTGGGCCCGTTAGTTCTCTATGACCTGCCCGTTGGACTTCACCCATTTTCTTCTCCCTCCGGCTGGAAGAGTCTGAGCTCTTTGCAGCCATGCCAGTCCAGATCAGGCCCAAAACCCCTGCACTGGTGTTTGTGTTTATTTTTCCAGGAAGCAGAGGATCGAGAGGAATAAAGGGGGGAAGTGACTTCTCAGTGTCGTAACCCTGGCTACTTTTTAAAAGAGCATTGTTTGGGTCTGAGACCACCCACACCTACTGGCTGCCCTTCCCAGGGGTTGGAAGGGAGCCGGGTCTATGACGTGCAGCTAGGAGCAGGGTAGAGGGCACAGCAAAGGCAGAGGCCCCGTGGGAATGATCTTGGTGGACTGCAGGAGGCCTCTGCTAGAGCTTAGGGATGCGACCAGATGCCCTGAGGATCTGGCAGGCTGGGTCAGGAGTTTGGTTGTGAACTTGAAGTCTCATCTTTCCTGAAGTCCTCACAGCTCCTCTTCGGATGGTTGTGTGTTTTCAAGCTGACCCAG